ATATGTCATCAGAAGAGATGCCTATCAAGGTATGAATTACATTTTGATTGTTTTTCGATGTTGCCAGTTGGCTCCAAACAGACAACATATACATCCCAACCTTTAAAGGTTCTTTGTCCCATTTGCAGGCCAAAAAAAATATGAATAGGTTAAATTGCAACGGCATTTGAAGATAAAACTTTCTTCAAAACAAAAGGGCTTGAAAATGTCTTTTTTTGGCAAAATAACGACCTTAGGTTTTCGAATCAAATTTAGGGATTGCAGTCCTTTTATCAAATAGTCTGATTTTCAGACACATGTTACGAATGGTTGTACGTTTTGTGCCGCACAAAGACTCAATCAGTTCAATTTTGGCCATTACAAGAAATGGGATATTGATATAGGCGAATGCTCATGTACACTTTACAGCTCTTTTTATGTATGTTATTCCAAAGAAAAAAAGAAGTCAGTCAGTCACTCAATAGTGTATGATAGTGTAGTCTAGAAAGTAAACAGATTTCCTTGCATAATTTGAATACTAGGACACTGCTAACGTTTAAATTTCAGAAATAGGACAAGCACTTTATAAATAGAAGTGTATTTTGATTTCTTTGTCTTCCCGTCCCTCCACAGATCAACCTGATTGCCCCGCCCCAGTACGTGGTGACCACCCAGACGTTAGAGAGAGTTGAAGGTGTGGAGAAGCTCAAGGAAGCCATCGAAGCAATCAAAGAGAGCATTTTAAAGAGCGCTGGAGTCTTCAAGGTCATGATGGCGGTAAGTTTCCTCAGATAGGATGTATAGAGTAGGGCTCCAGCTGTTCGAAATCATGAAATACAGTTAAATCTGCTTTAGTGACCACCTGTCTACAAAGACCACCTGTTTACAGAGACCACAATTTTTGTTTCCCTTGAAAATGGTTTCTAATTGAAACATGTTCTAAAGGAACCTGTCTACAAAGACCACTTTTTGTGTTTCTCTTGGGCAGCTGCTATAGACAGGTTTGACTGTACCCGGAAAATAAGTTGCATTCTTTTCCAGTCAGGAAAAATACAGGGAATTTAAGAAAACTTCCTGAAATCAGATAAAAATCAGGGAATTTCACCAGCTCCCAAAGAAAGAAAAAGGTCTCTCAAATTTTCTTAAATCTTGAGTTCAAACTGTATTCACGGAATGATGACATTCCATACTGGAAGTGCTTGAAACAATGATCCTGGCAATTTGAAACTCTACCATAGAGAAAATCAGGGACTGTTCTTTTCACGATATGCTTGAAAAGGGTTAAATCAATAAAAGAAAGCATCATGAAATGCGGTGGAGTCTTCAAGATCATGGTGGCGGTAAGTAGGACTCCCAGCTGTATTGGATGTAGAGAGAATTGAGGGTTTATTCTGAGGGGCATACAAATTGGGCTCACTAAATTTTAGACTTTGTTATTTCTTTTCTTTTTTTTTCCTTAACCCTTTTCCATTTTTGTTTAAAGTGCTTGTCATGAATCAATATACACGTACCTGAATAGTTCAACTTCTTTGGCTGCGATTCCTTTTGATTTCAAATGTCCTTTTAAGCTTAGTGTATCATATTATGAATATGTTTTTAATGTTTTTAACATGTATATTTTTTAATTTGTAGTTTTATGTTTTACTTGTATCACTAATAGATACATTTTATTTATACATTTTAAGAAACCCACCTCAAACTCAATTTATGATTATATATGATGGATTGTTTTGCTCAAATATTCAGTAACAATGACTATTGTTTTAAAGAAACATGAAAAGATATATTTCAAATTATAGACATAGTATTTTCATCAAACTGTCTCATTTTCCTATTTCTATGAAATATACATATTAGCATTTCTAAAAATAGTCATCATGATTTGAAAAATCAAACTCTATCCTTCTTTCTTCCTCTTTCTTATTTGAACCACAGCCTAAGGTTGTCACCGACACAGAGGAACAAGAGCTTGCCAGACATCTGGAGAACCTAGAGAAAGCAAACGCAGAGGTTGATGGAGACGACGATGGGGAAGAAATTGGAAACGAGGAAGACTAATTAGCGATTAAATCTAATTAGCAAATTACAATTAAACCTCATTTATTTATAACGTGAGCTTTAATAGGTGAGAGCTATAAAGTCATTAAGTCCATTAAAAAATTAATCTGAATGAAGGGCCAGTTACTACTTGACGATGAGGGTCGTGATAACAACTTTAAAAATAAAAATTGTTCCCTAATTGCTTCCCTCTTGTTAATTGGGAAAATGAACTGAAAATCATTCTCTTCAAACCTCAATTATTTGTGCTAACGAGCGTCCCCCTATCGTCTCAGTGGGATCGCTTGGCGAGCACCGCGACAGACCTCTATGATATTATGTTTTAGACAATATTATTCCTCCTTCCATGTGACATCAGTTCAGAAGAGGTCATGTGTGCAGTATACTTTATGCTTGTTTGATTTGATAGAGCCACAATTATTTCATTGTTAGACTGCCCAGTGCCCACTTTTATAATTATTGTTATTATTGAATTATATGTTTCATATGTATGCATATAGTTTAATGTTATTGTGATCCTTCATGTTTGATCAAGCCCTTCTCGCTCTTGAGTTGTGATATACATGTACCCGGTATCTGAATGTTTTAGATAATGCATAAATGTCAAGAGTACATTCCTCAGAACTGACTTAATGACCCTTCTGTATAGATATTAGAAAATAAAACAAAACAGAGAGTACATGTACTTCCTAGTGAATTATTCTGGTTGAGGATTTGTTTCATTAATACTGGCTCACTACTCTTTTGTTTCGATTAGGGTTATTTTTCAATTTTATTTACTCTTTGAGTGTATTTCAGCTAGCCCTGTCCAATTTCAATGGCTGTTCTAATGAGGAATGTTGTCCAAGTTTGATCCTATTTGTCTTCTAATTTTATTTTATTTTTTCTTAGAGATTTCCTGTAAAATTGCATTCCATAATCGAATGTATTTTGGGGGGAATTCTGTTATTTTGCATACTAGGTGAAAGTTAGACATCGAGGTATTTCAGTCCAAGTAGAATGAAACTATTTGAACTGATAAGTCTTTATAAAACAATACAAAACAAAAACCATCTAATGTGAAAAAGATTGTATGTTGGTAATGTCAATTTCCATCTGTATGTAATGTATGCAAATAAAATTCAAACATTTCAACCAGATTTTGATTTAGACTCTTCAGTTTCATATTCATAAGAAGTACATGTACACATGCCTGTGTAATTATGTAAAAATGTGAAAGTACAACAATGTATTGTAACAAGATTCAAAATAAAGAAGACACTTGTGCAGTGTCAACTTATTTGTACAGACAATAGATTGGATGAGGTGTGGTTTCTTTCTTCTATGAATTGGAATGAGTACATTCTATTTTTATTCTGCTTGTGCAATATTCAGGTAATATTAATTTCCATCATTACCATCATCATTTCAATCATGATGATGATTATGATCATCATCAACATTACCATCACCATCAACATTGCCCTCATTTTTCATCATCACAATCATCATTTTATCATCATTTTATCATCATGATCTTCACCATCTTAGCCATAATCCTCCTCTTCCTCATCACCACCATTAGGCCTAAAAGAAAAAAAATGTTGTATTGCCCTTTGCGACCGACCCAAAAATCTTGAAATCTATGGTTGGCTTTTAAATTATTTTTTAAACCATTTTTTAGAGAAAAAAAAATTAAAACATTCAAAACTGAGAAATGCCCAGAGAGGGAGAAAAAAAGGGGAAAAAAGAAGATTTTCGACTGACCAGCCCATGTTTTGGCACCTAAAGGGCAATACAACATTTTGTTTGTAGGCCATACCATCACCACCATCATCATCATCTTCTTATCTACTGCACAACAACCATCACCCATTAACGCCATGTGCTGGATCACTCTCCCACTACAATTCTGCATCTTTCATGCATCATCATCAAAGAAAGTAGACAAATCTTACCTCAAAAATAATTTTAAAGTAATTTTTATTTTGCATGATATTATACTGGAGAGCTGCTCTTTCTTGTTTAGATAAACAATTTATGGGTGCAATAATCTTCACGTACAGAGTTAGTATATCGGAGGAAATAATAAAATTACAAAAAGTTGCATAAGGGATAACAAATAAAGGAACAAATAGATTAAAAAATACAACCGCACAAATTAAAAAAAATAAAAGATAAGAAAATAGAAAGAGACCTGTAAGAAATGGTATAAAAACTAACGTAATATAAAAAAATTGAGCCAGTCATATTGAGCAGTGAGCAGGATTTCTACCTATCTCTGTGTAATATCATCTTTTAGCAATCTTTATAGGTGTAATTATGATCAACTTTTTTTAGAGTACCCCCCCCCCTTCCCCCTCATACTAACAAATAAAAACAGACCATGTATATCACACTAAAACTATATATGTACAAAGTACAATGTAATGGAATATAATTGTAAAACAAACCATTTTACAGGTTGTTATGTGTCTTTGTATAAAAAAATACTAATTGTACTGGTAATGTAGAGTTATTGGATAAAAATGCCTTATAAAAATGCTAAAAAGTTATAAAATTCTGGAATGACTTAAAAAAATACAATCTGGATAAAAAAAATGTTGCATAGATGCTTAACATGATGGTGCATAGCATGAATGTTATGGAGTTTATCTCATAAATGCGAAACTTGATTTTCAAATACATGCACATGAAGCAAGCCAGCACACCCTGAAATGCTATTACATGAACATGTATGTTAGTATCAGCTGACCAACATAAACAAGGAAGCAGCTATCTGATTGGATAATAATCTGGGGGATGTTTCACAAAAATCCTAAGTCGAACTTAATATATTAAAAAGTGAAAATTCAAGTATTTTAGATTCTTTATAAAATCCACATCAAGAACATGAAATCTCCTACACTAATAGAAAATATTAATGATTTGAATCAACATTTTAAAATAACTTTTACAAAAATGTTCATAGGTGTTGAAGGCTTTCCATAATTGTTAAGTTCAACTTAGGATCTTTGTGAAACAGCCCCTGGGGTCAGTGGACAGCTTCAAGTTTGAGTAGCTTGGAGGAGAGGTCAATTGATGTGAAGAAAAAAGAAGAATAGCTATACATGAGCTACGGTAATGTCCTATGAAGAAATCAGCTTATAACATGGAATTAAAGGTTTTACTGCCCAACACTTCAGTATACTGGCTGAGAGAATCAGGCAGTTGTCTGCAAATGTGGCTCATACATGTGTACCGTACCTTAACATGTGATGAAGCTCTACAAGTGGTTATTAAAATAAGCAAGAAATGTATGGAAATATATGGCAAGAAACAAATGATTTATGGCAGTTCACACTGAAACATCAGATTCATAATAGAGTCACGGACAGCTCCTATTACATAAGCATCAAACCATAAATGTGTCCACAACACGACATGCACAACAGTTTGGACAAATCAATCAACATCTTGATAGGGGATCAAGTTTCTTTCCATACGATGCCAGGAACTGATGGCTGACTTCTATGGCAAGACAGGAAGAAAATTGGTACATATATATACTCAGGGTCATTACTTTAAAAAATGTTTTTTCTGGATTTATATAGAGCCTAATACATCTATGTCTCTTTAATAGCGATCATTAAATACAGATTTACTTCTATTTTCTTATTATTTTCCATGTCTGCCTGATTCTCTCAGGTTATCTCAGAATGTCTTATTAAAAATTAAAGTATTGAGTTTGGTACATAAAAGCTTTGTAACCCAAGTTTAAGCTATTGTAAATGACTTATCAACTTAATGAGATCATTTATACAGAATCAAACTTTCTCTCCTGTAGACATCTAGCAACCTGTTGAAAACACATACGGCAGCTTCATGATCAGTCTACAAGCTCCCCATAATATGCTGTAATGGTTTTGATTTTCTTGTTCAAGAAGTTCTGCTCGATCTCCATACGCCCTCCTGGGCCAGCGAGAGAGGCCAACTATAGAGGGAGACAAAGAGATGAGAAGTCACAGTCTGGTATTGTTGGCTTAAAGGCGTAGACCAGTTTTGGAAATGCCCCCCTCTCAAAAAATAAAATGGAAGCTGTTATTACCAATCATGAGAAAGAATCTGTTTTGACTAATACGTGATGATACAAATTTTGCAGGGAAACCGCCTACTAATTGATATATTTGGTAAATTATTATATCTATCCGGACTGGACAGATATCGCATAGTCCCATATACATATTTCTGTGTACAGTGCTTGTAATTTACCAAGACTGGGCCAAATTTCTTATCATTTTGATGATTCCAGAACCTTGCAGTACACACCAATACTTATATGCCAGAGGATCAACCTTTTCTGATCGATTCCACAACGTTTCTTTCACAATGCAATCGCTTGACCAGAAAAGGTCTATACCTTTAAATACAAACAGAAAACAGAACTCCAGGCAGATGTACCGTAAGCCACATCACGATGTTGTTCTTGTAGAACTGAGCATTAATCTGTGTCCCTGTCCTTACACTAGGTTCTCAGGTTGATATAAACACATGTATGTATCATAGCTAACACCAATTTTACAATGTACATCAATGATGGAGATAGCTATCAATCGTTTATTTATGTAATAGATCGGGTAAGGTTCTGAAAGGTATAGACCAGTTTTGGAAGCGCCCCCCTCTCAAAAAATGGAAGCTCTTATTACCAATCATGTGAATGAATATGGCTTGACTAATACGTGATGATACAAATTTTGCAGGGAAACCTCCTACAAATTGATATATTTGGTAAATTATCATATCTATCTGGCCTGGATAGATATCGCGTAGTCCCAAATACATCTTTCTGTGTACAGTGCTTGTAACTTTACCAAGACTAGGCCAAATTTCTTATCATTTTGATGATTCCAGAACCTAATTGCAGTACACACTTATATGCTAGATGATCAACCTTTTCTGATCAATTCCACAATGTTTCTTTCAAAATTCAATCGCATGACCAGAACTGGTCTATACCTTTAAGCATTGATGTAAATTCATGAAATATAGGAAATAGATAATTTTAGGATACCTACTCTATGGACTCATATGGAGGTAAACTTACATTGAACAAGGACTCATCAATAAACTTTGAACTTGTGAAGTGACTGGAATAGATCACATTTTAAGATTTTTTTTTGCTTACCTGTTCTACATTAGCATTTCTTGGAGCAAAGAAACCAATGTTTTCTGAGATGCATCTAGCTTTCTCAAACATGGCTGCAGTAAAAAGGAGTTAAGGTCAACAATTCAAACGGTTGAAAATGGATAAATATTAATACTTTGAAAATAATTGTTTTTCAAAATCACAGCTATATATCAACCACTTGAATTTCACGAAATATGAATAAGCAAAGGAAGGACGATTGCATAAACATTGTGTATACAGTATCTCAGTCAGCAAGTTATCAGCGTTTGGCTTTCATTTTTGTGCGTAAAACATTGTGAGCAATACTATATTTGTACTCCTGATGGTTCTAAGATGGTCTTTAAAAATACAAAGACCTCGCCCAAACTGAAAACCATTTATTTAAAAGAGAAGACTTTAATGGGATATCCCAGTAGACCAGTTGACTTTTTAGATGGGCAATTATCAATAGAGCCTTACAATTTCATGCTGTCAGTCTCAAGGGTCTGCGATCTCAATGGTTGTAGCAAAAGTTTAGCCACTTTGTTTTTAAAAGTATCATTTAACAGTGTTAAATCTGAGATGCATGGCCCTATACGTGTTATCAGTTTCTGTGATATGGTCGAACATTGAAGCCCTAAAAATATTGCGCTTCAAAATGATCCTGAAGTGCCTCAAAAAAGTAAAAATCTTGAAGTGACCAGTTTTACCATACTAATTTTTCCCAATAGACTGTAGTGTTATAAAAACTGTTAGGAAAATGAATGTTTAAATTTTGATTCCAATCATAAATATCTTGATAATCTGACAGCTTGTAAAAGTCATGGGGTTCCTAACTGACCTAAAGGTTCATAATTATGATGGCAGCATGAGCTAAATCCAGGATTTTGTTTCAGAATCTTTAATCAAAGGATATGTATCAATGTCCATCATGGAGAAGAGATCGAAGACCTCAGCATTGAGGTACTTGGGTCCGCCCCACGGAGGGCTCAAGAACACCACGTCTGCTTTCAAGTCGTCTGCTACCTTGAAGAAGTCACCAACGATGAACTCGATACGATCCTCAACCCCGTACACTGTAGCGTTGTGTCGGGCTAATTCGATCTTGGCGGGGTCGATGTCAACTGCTACCACTGGATTGTGAGAAATAGACGATCCTGGATTTATTAATTCTGTTGTGTAATGGCGTTTTGTTCCCCTCAAAGAAAAGAAAAATAAGAACGATTCTCAATGTCTAAAACATCTTATAAATGCTTGTTTGCTGGGGGAGTTGGCAATATTTAAGGAAAAATCTATCACCAATGCAAATAAGAATTGTACAGTGACTGTAATTGGGCACTGATCTATTGAAATACAACAATGTTGATGCTTTCAACTTGCATCACTTCTTTTGTTCACATAGTCAATCCATCACTCATCATTAATACAACACTTCTTTTGACAACAGTAACAGTAACCGATGGGGTGACCACCTTCACATGAACACAATACACATGTAGGTAAACTAGATGGCATTCCCCCTCACCTCCCAGAAGTTGCTGTAAAAAAAAAAGGATTTTGGCCACAGAGATGCAATGTTGTTTATCTTAAACCTTTCACAAGTAAAGCAAACTGGATAGTATTGCTCCCTGCCCCACAGAAAACGACACAAGATCAGATCAAATCTACATCTTCCTGCTTGATGTACAGCTATAGGACCTCGTGGCAGATTAGCCTTGTGCAAGACAGTTATCAGACAAAGTCTACTACTGTATTTGCCAATGACTCAGATACTTACCTCTCTCACACGTAAAGGCAAACTGGATCGCATTACCCCTGACCCACAGAAAGCATCAACAATCAAGTCACATCTACATCTCTCTGCTTGATGTTCGGCTATCCTCTCCGGGGTCACCGAATACCAGCCCTCTAAAGAGATTATAAAAACACAAAAATGAGACCCCAAAAATGATGAGGATGAGGAAAATAAAAGAGAGTATATACGGTACCAAACAACTCGATTCTGAATCTATGTTATGTTTGTGATCTGTTTTTTGTAGTTTTTGTATCCATTATTATTATCAGTTTCAGTATAAACTGCTCAACTTATAGAAATACATGTCCCAATCTTAATTACTTCAGCTTTTAAATACAATCATTATGAAATATTGAACTCATGAATTTACATTAATTTACATTAATTCATTTGATAATGTATAATAATTTGATTGGGGCAGATTGTAATTCATATATTAATGTACAGTATCATATTCTACAGTTTCCTTGATTTTTTGTTCTACCATTGTTATCTATCAGTATCTTGATTTGTATCTGAAAATTAATCTCATGTTTTAGTAACAATAAAGACATAATAATAATACAAGTAGAAGACACATTACTGATTAGTTTTGGCAAGTTAATACGATAATGTATAACAAGCTGTTTTTGGATTGTGTATACAGCTTGTAAGGTTACATTAGCCAAATGTCAGCCAGCAGGACAAGCAGGCATATTTACTTACGATGGCAACAAAGGTGTTAGAAGTAGACTAGGGAAAGGAAAACAGAAAAGGGGGATGAGGAGAGGGCAAAAAGGAGGAAGGGAGAGAAAATTTAGACATACACCTACCTTCATCTAACTTGATGCCTTCGTCAAATCTTGAGAACAATCTGTATCGCTGAGCCCAGTACTTGTTCAAATGCTTACTGCCTCCAGCTATGTCATGCTTGGAAGTATACTTCCGCTGTCTGCGCTGCTTTGCTTTTGGTTTCGACTTCTGATCATCATCTTTGACTTCTCCTTTCTCCCTTACGACCTCCTCCGCATTGACCCTATTTTCCTCTTTCTTTATGTCTTCTAGTTTAGCTACGGTCTGTATAGTTCCAGATGCACTGGGCATTGTGTTCTGTTCCGATGCTGCTTGTTTTGGCAAGTCAATTGGCAAGGCATCTCCCTTTTCATCTATGCAGATATCCTTACTCTGCACTTCATCATCCATTGTCTGATCTGCTTGTTTGTTACTATGGCAACCATCATCACCATGTTCTAAAGAAGCCTCCTCTCCTGGGAATTCTTCTACATGTTCATGGAGTAATTTATTATCATCAGTCTTATCCTCTGTTGGGGCCTCAACGTTTTCATCAAGATTACTATCTGTGTCATCATCATCCTCATCGAAACCATGACAACTGACCCCAATGTCATTCAAGTCTTCCTCTCTCTTCAGGAAACCCCTCACCTTTCCAAGAACATTGCTCTTGCCAACTTTAAAGGACATCACACGACTCTGCTTTTCTCCTCTTTTTCCACCATCTCTTGATCCTTCCTGGGAAGTTGTCCCGGCAACTTCATCGCCTCCGTCTTCAGCCTCGTGTTCTTCATCGCTGAATCTGATGTGGAGCGGCTTCTTCCTCAAGTTCAGGTCGGGGTCGTGACTTTTCTTCAGCCGTTTGTTGAAGTAGTGGACCTTTGCCTTCTGGAATGGCTTCTGATCCAAGAACCTGGAAAAGCAACATAATATAGCAACAAAAAAAAAAAAAAACCCACTTAAGTTTAATACAAATGGAATAAGGGCACACATATATAATGGCATTATAATAAAAATTCTGACTGAAAATGCCATATTTCTGAGCTACAAGTATCATACATTGCTATTGAATTTGTTCAGCACATAAACTATCATGACTGAAATTGAATTGAAAAGTTAATAACGGTCATTTACCATACTGAAACTTTTACAAGTTGTCATGTATAGATCAATTCTGTGGCAAGAAGCATTTGCATCTCTGGACCCCTCAAAAATTTCATGAACATTTATGGTGTTACAGTGATCAATTTTCAAGTTTAAAGCCTGTCTGTACTAGTTTGGCCAGGGGGATTAGACCTCCCTGCAAGGTCACTGACAGGTGGTTATGTTATCAAATAAGCTGTCAATTAACATGAGAAAAAGGAATCATGGGGGACCAACAGGCACCGATTAGGCATTGTTTGCTATATAGAGGGCGCTAGTAGCTATAATTCAGTGGGCCTTTAACATCAAGTGCAAATGCTGTGGCTTCGGTGAGAGTTTTAATCTTTGTCAATACTGCACATCTTTAACTGCAATGTGAGAAGGGGTGCTTTACCTCCGAGATGCAGGGGCACAACTGAGACCTAGTTTCTGAAAGACTTTGGTGTATGCTGACCCAAGCTCCTCAGCATCCAACTCATGACTGAAAAAAAAAGAAGTACAGAGATTCCCATTAAAGGTATAGACCAGTTTTGGAAACGCCCCCCTCTCAAAAAATGAAATGGGAGCTCTTATTACCAATCATGTGAAAGAATATGTTTTGACTAATACGTGATGATACACATTTTGCCGGGAAACCACCTACTGATTGATGTATTAGGTAAATTATCATATCGATCCAGCCTGGGTAGATATATCGCAAATGCACTTCAACATTGAACATTTGGGCATATATTTCAGCTTTTTTGTGAATTTAGGTTGAAGTATTGCCATCTAAACCTCTGAAGGCAATATTTAAACAATATTAAATGGACATTTTGCCAAAGACCCAAAACCCTTGAACCGCAATCTTACCACTACCGGTCTATATCTTTAACATCACAAACATCTATAGATCCCATACACAAGCTGGATGCTGTTTAGGATCTACACTGACAACTTTATGTACTAGAAATACATACATTCTTTATCAGATGTAGTTTGATTTGGGTAGCAAAAAGCACAACTTTTAAATTTAAAATGTACATGTAGATGAAGCATTTTACCTTTATTTATATATATATATATATATAACATAAACATGAATTTACAAATTAAATATGTCAAAAACGTTTAAAATCATTGCCAATTAGACATTGACATATTTACATTTGACAATTTCCCATTGTGTGTGCTTCTTTAAAGGAATAAATTCCTACAATCCCCAAAATACACGATTGTCTATTTTTCATAAATTATCAGTAAATTTCTTGGAACTCACAATTTTTTGCACCCTTACAATCATTGCTTTATATTTTCTTTAGATTAGGACAATGGCACATTCAATTTTTTCAAATAGTAGATAGTAATAAAGGCAAGAGCTTCAAATATTGCAAATGAAATAAACAACATCTAGGAACAACAAATTCTTTCAAAGCTGAGGCACAGACTAGTCCTACCTCCTCTTTGTCTTGTATGGTGAGTCTTCTGGAGGCTCTTCCTCTTCATCATCATTACCATGGCAACTGCCAGTAGATCCTAGATCTCTGTTTGCCATGATAGCTGTGGAAGTACCTTCAATGTACATGGATTGAACAATAAGAATTACATCTTTTAGTGAAATGTTTTGTAATACAATCTAAGCTTTATTGTTTCTATCAATATGCTTGTAAACAAAAAGAATGCATCACAAATAAAAAACTAATATCGCCATTCTGTTCCTACATATACATGTACATGTAAGTACATGTACAAATATTTGTAAAGAGTTTGCTTTGTAATATCAAATACAGTTGTACGATCAAATACTGTTTAAAGAAAGAAGAACAGACAAAAAATACACATGCAACAGGGGGGGGGGGGGCAATGAAAATATTGTTATCAGCCTAATCCAGAAAAAAATAAGGAAAATCAAGTGTCAAGTCCCATTCAATTTACAAACATAACATAATTATCGAATTGTGGACAAAAGTTTTTCAATTAAAAAAATAATCAATTCTATCATCGCTTCTCTGAACAAAGTTTCCCCCAAATTATCATAATCCTTGAAGATTATTCAAAGTAACAGATAAATGGATGGTGGAAAGGGGGTTACCATTGCTGCTTCCGCTGGAATTAGTCCTGGTCTGCTTTGAGTTTTGCTTCCTTTTCTTCCCTCCACCTTTCATCTATGAAGAAGAAGAAAGAAGATTTGGCAATTAGACAAGGTTCCAACATTTTCAGGGTGTGGTTACCTATGAATGAAAATTGGGAACTGATATTGCTTATCCTTCCTCCTATTCCGTCAGTTATTCAAAGTGTCTGAATTTGAAAAGTCTGCTCAAGGTGCTCAGAAAATGGTCAGGAAAATTACTGGAAACAGGACGGCTGTTGCTCTTAAAAAGCAATTGTTTGTTCAACTGAGAACAGGAGGGTCAAATCTGACTGACATGAGCGCTATACAAGAACCCACTATTATTATTATTATTATATATAATCAGTATTGAGTAATTACCATTTGCTGGAGAGAAAGTGGCATTTTATATACTGCATTTTAAGATGATGTCAAAGAGACAAGGGAAATTAGATTATGAAAATTAAAATTTAATTTTATGAAAGCAACCCATTAGAGACTTTAAAAGTAGAGAAGGGTCCTTGTAAAAAAAACGTCAGTATAGTTAGGACCAGAAAACAACATTATTCTGACTTCGGTTTTCCTTTTAAATTTGACAACATCTCAAAAATACATGGTTACCCCTCCCTCTATTACCCCTGCAAATACCCATTATAGGAATCTCTTGCATACCTCTCTGCCTTGAGGTACATCACTGCCAAATCCTGATGGAAGTCCCATTTGTTTCATCATGTCACTCTCCTCTTCATCTGGGAAGACCATCTTAATAATCTCTTCCTCTAGGTTGTGACCAGGCTCATCGTCATGCTGATCTGGCACTGGTTCAACCTCCAAAGCCTTCTCTACATCATCAACCAGTTTAGAGTCTCCTAATGTACTCATGTCAGGTATCTGTTCTTGCAGGAGTGTTGAAGCATCCTCCTCCTTTGGTTCAACCTCAACAGCCGTCCCTACATCATCAACCAGTTTAGAGTCTCCTGATGTACTCCTGTCAGGTATCTGTTCTTGCAGGAGTGTTGAAGCACCCTTCTCCTTTGGTTCAACCCTCGCAGCTGTCCCTACATCATCAACCAGTTTAGAGTCTCCTAATGTACTCCTGTCAGGTATCTGTTCTTGCAGGAGTGTTGAAGCCTCCTCATCCGTTGGTTCAAACCTCACAGCTTTCTCTACATCATCTACCAGTTTACATTCTCCTTGTATCTGTTCTTCCAAGAGTGTTGAAGCTTTCCCTTTTTGGTCACAGGAACTGACAACACATTCATCCTCTTCACCCTTCACCACACCATTAGCTTCTATCAGATTTTCTTGAGGAATCTCTTCACCTACTGCAATTGGTCCCTCCTCTCCTTGAAGCACATCCTGCCAAGAGTGGAACCAGTGGTGGTAGTACCAGTATGTGTCATCGGAATGCTTGTCCCATTCTTCTATCAATCCTGGAGTCCATTTGGATTCAGGTGCAGTCAGAGCAGCATCCTGTGACTTATCATCCATTTTACCACCACTTAAATCTTTTTCCTTGACCACATCACCAGCATGATTTTCAATGTTTCCATTTTGAAGGATTGGTTTCACTGAAGAGAGGGGGATATGGACTGCATTGCCAGTATCTCCTTCAGCTGTACTTTCATGCTGCTTGCCTGGTTGGTCCCCAAGAGAATCAATAATTACATCAGTTCCAGGTTCTAAAGATTTTGTACTAGGAACTGTCACATCATCAAAAGTACGCGATTGTTGCACAACATTTACTTCACTGTCAGCCTCACCAATATTAGTGAGCTGACCTCCCCCGCTGTTATGGTCAGTGCCCTCACAGCCATGACAAGGCTGTTCCATTTTCTCTGAGAGGTGAGCTGATTCTGTGAGGATATCTTTGTCCTGGCAGGATTCAAGAAGCATATCTACATCAAGGTCAGCCACATGCTCCTGATTACATCTGACATTCATGTCTAGGCCACCATTGTCCTTTAGCTCACTATCTTCTTTTTTCCCTGATGTTTTTATTAGCATACCACTTGGATCCCTTCCACCCTCTGTATGCAAACACCCCTCCTGGGTATAACTGGAAGATTCATCTTCACCAAACTCTGGATGCAGTTCAAGCCAGCCTTGCCAGATGAGGCCATGCCCAAACTTCTCCCAGTACTCCTCCCAAGAAGAGACATCCTCAGACCCATCAAAGTCTCCACTGACTCCAAGTTCCTTCTTGCATCCTTCCAAGCCACTTGGCATACCCTCATCTGCATCCTTCTCAGAATTTCTACCGTGGCCGATATGTGAGTTGTGCTTGGTTTCATTCTCGTCTGCATTTTGGACATTGGAGTACGTGTCCTTCTGGTTATCTTGAGATCTCTGCCTGTTCCTGCTGTTCTTCGCCTTTCTCTTACTTTTCTTTCCTTTGTTTGACTTTGTTCTGACCTTGTACGTGCCCTCGTCCTGTCAAAATAGAAGAGAAATATAACACAATATCTGTAAGAGTGCAAAAAGAGCAAAAAATTATTACTTTCCTCTCTAAGCTAAGCAGTATCCTCTTCTATTTAATATTGAATATGGTCCCTGTAAAAAGCCACCAAGTAAAGTCTTGCCTTACAAAACCATGACTGCTTTAAAGTGCCTTAGCAAAGCATCCTATACAGAAGAAGCTGGAATTCGTCCCTATTTTCACTAAGTGACGGTAATGAGGAAAATCGCACACAATTTGCGTGACGATTTTCCTCACTACCATCACTTCGTGAAAATAGGGACGAATTTGGTTAGTTTTAGAAATTGACCATGGAGAGTTATTGCTCCAGCGAGTGTCATACAACCAATATTTACCTCCTCCTCACAGTCTCTTGGTGAACGGGCAAAGCTAAGAGGGAGTCCCATGTCCTTCATGACCTCTTCTTGACCTTCATACTCTCCGGTAAAGTTCAAAAACGATGAGTGGTACGGCCTGATCTCCTTCACATCACACCCATTATCGGAGCCATTCGCCTTCTTGACGGTTCCCTCTGCAATGGCTGATTCGCTGGTCCCACATTGGTGTGATTTATCCTTTTTTCCTTCATCGATGAGGACATCGTTTTCCTGTTCCTGTTCAAAGGTGTCATCATCACGCTGCTCTTCAGGCTTTCCATACAGACCCCATCGGTACAGTTCACCGTCGCTGTAGCAATAGAAACAAAACATATCATGTAGTAGTAGTCGTATCCCACAGAACATTCTTATGGCTTGTCCAGATATATACCACAGTAAATCACAGCTGTTTTTCATATACAGTGTATAAATGAAAGGCAAGTGAGCGCAACAAAGGTTCACTGAACTCTGTGTTATAAGATACAGAGATATGAAGCATACAACAAAATAAAAAAAAAGGCAGTTTACCACTTCATATCTCATCAAGGCCTTAGAGAAGCAAAAGAAGGATGAGGGTGAATTGTTAAGAAAGCATGTTATGTACAGAGACAGAGCCATGCTAATGAGGCTTATAGTTACATTATAATCTAGATTTCTAGTATCCAACCTGAACTGGTGGATCGGTGTTATTACAAGATCAGATACAGTCCAATCATGAACATCATGCAGGATGGCTCCTGCACAAAGCTATTGGGAATGAAAAAAGCAAGTGAGCAACAAGTTTACCCTTGCCTGTTCCACACCACTTTGCTGTGCCACTCAATTTCCTTGATGTTAGACACAAACCTGCAACACTTTACTTTATATGTTATAAGCTTGATTGGTACTACACATTCCCCACTCCATAGAAAACCTGAAAGTATTAAGGAAAATCTACTTTTCCACTGTGCTCACAACTTACTCTGCAAAAGCTCTGGAACAGCGGACTTCAATACTGACAAATGGCTCAGGATCATAGTGGCCTTCTCCTGCAGTTTTTTCTTCTGGCATCTCAGTCTCATCATTATCATGCTCAGTGATGACCTTATCTCTCTCCTCTGCAGACTGGTTGACAATCCCATCTCTCTCCTCTTCAGACTGGTGGACGATCCCATCTCTCTCCTCTGCAGACTGTTTCAGGACCTCATCTGTCTCCTCTTCAGACTGGTTCACGATCTCATCTCTCTCCTCTCCAGACTGGTTGACAACCTCATCTCTCTCCTCTCCAGACTGGTTCACGATCCCATCTCTCTCCTCTCCAGACTGTTTCACAACCTCATCTATCTCCTCTGCAGACTGGTTGACGACCTCTTCTTCTTGTCCTTTCCCCACAACATCTACAAGAGGGAGTCCTGGTGGTTCTTCAGTCTGTGGTGAGATACACTGAATACACAAGACGAAGAAAATGGAAGTCAAACAAAGTATAGGTCTTGGGTTTTGAATGATAGGACTGTCAAATTAACAAAACAAAAATAATAGCTCCCCGCTCCCACCCTCCCCTTTCAATTAATTAAATACAGTGACGAAATTCATCAGAATAGTCTTTAAAACCCTTTAAAATGTTGGTGATGTCTAATTGTTCATCTTCAAAATATTCATGATATCTAACTTTCAAAGCTGTTTTTGCCCCTTTAGGACAATGATACGAGTAGTTTTTTTAAATTCTTTTATTTCACAAAATCTGTTTCTTCAAAGAATAAGTCATGCATTAGATGTAAATAGTCACTTTTACTCCCACACAAATTATTTTCTTATTGAGCACGTAGTGAATCATGAAGAAAATATTACAAACTCAGCCATCAAGACATTGATCTACATTTGCTACTCTCCACCCAGGTGTTAAATGGGTACCCGGTAGGATGCGAAAGCTAAATGTGCTTAGATTAGCAATTGTGCGCTTGTAAAAATGACGCCTGGCTGAACTGCTCCCCAGGGAGTGGAAAATGTGCATACATTGTGTGCGGGTAAGCCTGAATCAAATGACCGGGGTAATAATACGATTGCAGGGCCCTCAGGGAGAACAGTATGAATACTGATGAGGCTACCCTGGGTAAACAACACATATTATTATTATTATTATTAAAGACAAACCTTCATTTTGCTTTGGACCTCTCTCACACCGAGAGGTTTTTCTCCCTCTCTCCAGTTCTTCTTGTCTCTAGCCACCTGGATGATCATCTCAATTTCAGCAGCACAGTATGAGTAAGCCATCTATCCACTTGACTCCTAGATTCTGAGATTGGATGATAACAAATAATAATAAAAAATCAAAACAAATCTGAGATGTATAACTGTTCGACAGTGGAACACTCTCCCTCTTGAGGTTGTCCTGGCTCCATCAGTAGAAGCCTTCCAGCGACAACTAAAGACAGGGGGGGGGGGGGAGGAAGTAAATTCCGGCAAAATGTTTACTGCCACTATACACCTTTCACCTGCACACCTGGACATCCCTATGTCGCCACACACATGCACTTTCACACATCTGCAAGAATCTTCAGCAGTGAAGGAGGCAGATTATCTTGAAGAAGAAGAAGATAAAATGAGGGGTAACTGTAGATCACCAAAACCTACCTACACAAGAGTATTATGTATATCATATTTTATTGTACATCATAATCTGTAGAGATGTCGTGGTCTAATGGATACGTCGTCAGACTGTGAATCACAAGGTTCACTGTTACAGTCCTGCCGCGGCACTAATGTCATGTCCTTTGGCAAGACATTAATCTCAATTTGCCACTCTATACCCGGGTGTTCTCCATTCAAGCGAATCGTAAAGTCATAAAGCAATGCATCCATTCTTGGTTTGCCGCGAGCGTTGAATCTCATTTTAAATTGGATATGAAATAATCTGGTCATAGAAAACTTGATCCATAAATCATGTAGCAAATAGGACCGGTATGTAAAAACCCTGCAAATTTCCAACAGCTGAAAACAGACTTTATGGACTATAAACTGACCGTCAATGTTTTTTGGGGCAAATTTGACTAGGCCTAGGACTAGGTCGAGGCCCAGACTAGATGAAACTAGATTATTCTCACAAGTAACAGAGAAGCAAGACACAGTTAAGTCACGCAGCAGAATAAAATCAGCAGCAGCTTTGTTGGAATTATCCCCCACGTCACTCTCTCTTTCTCTCTTTCTCCTGTTCACACGCACACATAGTACACATCACTCGGCCTTTTTCTCGATCTCCAATTCAATCCTACCGGTAACAGTTAACACGCACAGATTTGTACGAATGGGACTGTATCAACGTATTTGAACAAGTAAGTTGTGCTGCAGAAGATCAATACTAGTCTATACCATTTAGAAATCTCAATATATTTTCATGTATTTTTATAGAAGCAGTCACAAAATTTTGGAAGATACGTGAAATAGGGCTCACATATTTTTGGTAGCTCTCTCTAACTTACGAATCTCTTGAACGTGCGATCGTCAACAAAACGTGTTTATAGTTAGTCTGACTTCCAAGCCGTTATTCCTTTCTTTCTACTTTCTTGAAGTTTTGTATGTTGACATCAAATCAGAGCTACAACGAAGAAAAAAGTAAGATAAAGAAAGTAAATCCAAAAGTTGATATCCTCTTCATGATGGATAATGGAGGCTTCCGTTTTTGTTTGTTCGTTTGTTTGTTTGTTTGTGTTTGTATTTGGGGAGGGATTAAGAAATAGTTGGCTGGACATCAGGCTAAGCTGAGAAAACTTTTGCTAAAACAACAACAACAACAACAACAACAAAGTTTTGGGTAGAGATGTTCAAGGTGATTGAGAAATGTGGGGGGGGGGGGAAGAAAATATCAGACTGAATGTTGATTACAAAAATATTATTATTGGTTTAATTTAAAAAACGGCAGTACTGCATTAGGCTTATACATGCACGAACAGAACAAATCATAGATCTTAGATCAGTGGAACTGGGGACAAGTGGGGGTACGTACAATGGCATGCATGCGCCTAATTTGCTAAGAACGAAAAGTAGCCCTTTGAGAAATATAAATCGTACTCATTTCTACCAAATACCCCTACTCTTTACAAGAAGTGTGTCATTTTGACACTGAAACGTCTGTAAATGCGATTTTCTAATTGACTGCTAAAATGATGTATTCTCCAACCGTAGGCCTATATATATTTACTGTCATTTACCCATGCCATTTTGAACTATACACTACGGCAAAATAATCAATTTCCCTTTAAAAAAAAAAAGAAAGAATAATAATAATAGTAAACAATTTTTTATAGACAGTGAGGGAATTTTAAAACCACAGTCACAATGCATCCCGCCCCCCCCCCCACTCAGTGTTATTTAGGGTACGCGTATGCTTGTTCCCTCTTATTGAAAGCACCCCCTATCTGAGGACTGCCAACATTTTCGAACCCCCCTTTCGCGGGCTAAATGTCAATCATGTAAAAAAAAAAACGAAAAAAAAAAGAGAGGTATTTTTGCCATGATAAAATATTTTTGCCACCCTTCTTCTCGACCCGAAACAACATATTTATTATAGCTTCCCTCACATATGTCCATGATAAAGCGACTGGGAGGAATTTTTTGTCTTCTTCAAATTTTCCCCAAATTCGCTCGCATTTAGTTGATCTAAATTATGTAACCTTAAAGGTCTTATTCAATATGTATTAAAGAGACTGAGCTTAAAGGGGAAGTCCACCCTGATAATATATTTGTTTTAATACAAGGAGAAAAATGAGAAAACAGATCAGTGAAGAATTGAGGAGAAAAATACAATAAAAAAGAAAGTTATGGATTTTTAAAATCCATAACTTTTCATGAAATACTTGAAATATGTGAGTCAAATTGGGAACGCAGTCTCTAAATGTGATGTCACCCCTCACATTTTTATCTTTTGTTGAATGCAAGAAATGTCATTGAATTCCATTATGTTTAAAATAATAATATATATTTTCTTCATGTCTATCTCGATTATAATTATCACGGATAACAATCTTTCTTGCAAGCACCCCATACAAAATAGGTCTATACTATTCCTTTAATATTAAGAGAAATGGATATTTCGGGTCGGCTGTCATTCAGATCAGTGGTGAATTGTGAAAGGATGACATCACAATTTCTGACCGCATGGCCAATTTGTCTTAAGATTCCACGATTTTTATGATTTTGAGAGATTCATAACTTCCTTATTAATTTTGTTGTCCGATTTTATCAAACTTTCACTGGACTGTTTCTTTAATTGTTTTGCTTTTATTGAAACTAATTTAATATCACGGTGAACTTCTCCTTTAAAAACCCAATTTAAAGATAGATCTGACCGTTCAAAATGCGGCTCTTCTGCTTCTCGAAACAAAACAAAATTACCATAGCCCCCCTCGCATGTGCCCCTGATTAAAGCAACTGAAAGACTAATTTATTTCGAATTTCCCTAAAGCTCGTTTAATAAGGCTCTCGCATTAATAGTTTATCAAAATTACGTAATCGTAAAGGTGTTCTTTGATATTTCTTAAAGAAATTGTGCTAAAAACCGGTCTGACCTCACAGATCTTTAATAAATTAACTTCCAGACCACTGGACAAACAACTGCAAAATATGATGCAGAAGCAGTATCTACAACCATGAAAATATAAATAACAAATATTGAGGATAATCTTTGATAATGTACATGATGTATCAATTAGAATATAGAGGTAATGCTGTCTGAAAATTGTGTACTCTATCGCTTTGCGACTACCCTTTGTATTGGTGCCCCTTTCTGTTAAAAAAGTGTCCCCTTTGTTGGTACCCCTCTCCCACTTTGGAAGTCGCCCGACCGCCCTAGGTAGTGGGTTCGAGTTCTGGCGCGGCACTAAATTGGCAACACATTAAAATCTAACATTTGCCAGATGTTACATGAGTATTGGTAGAAAATAATTCTGGGTTTGTGAGCACAGATGTCGATAGCGTAGAGAGAGAGAGAGAGAGAGTCGGGCTAATATTGGGAGCGCATTGAGCACCTTGCTTGGTGCCCCTTTAAAGTGTTGGGAGCCCCAGACATTTGATGGCAACATTTTACTTAAATTATATCATAATGTGAAAGAGGATGTAATTTAACACACACTATCCTGCAAAGATCCCCCCCCCCCCAAAAAAAACGGGTTTGGAGGCAAAATATTGATAAAAGAATACATAATTTTGATTTTTTTTGTTGTACCCAGAAAACCCAAATTTTGTATTCTTTCATCAATATATGACTTCAGACACATTTTTCTTTTTTTTTTTTTTGGGGGGGGGGGGGCAATGGCAGTGCAATTCATATTTTACATGAATGAATATACCATTGTAATAATACAAGGGATAATCTACCCCACTACCCCGCTATACAGATGTCTGTTCGGCAAACATAATGGGAACGTGGTAAATATTTGTTTGGGCATATCCGATCATATACATACACAACCACATTTGTCAACATCCCCACGCCAAAATTATTCTAGCGATTTTTTGTTCTTCACTACTTTGTTTAATATAGTTTTACGTATATTTACTTTTACTTCTCAGTTTCAATATCAGTCTGGCTTCATAATATATTTAATTTTCCATTCCGTCATTTTGGAGCAATAAACTATTTATCTAGTTTATTTACTCGTGGGGTAACCTCGATTAGTATGTTGCAGTTTGTTAGCTCCAATTACCAAATAATATATAGAGTAGATTAAATGGACGTACATGTTGGTGATTTGGTGATACAAATTTCAAAATTCAACCTTGATGGATAGCAGGGTGTATTACCAGATGGGAGGAAGAGAAGGATAAAGGAACATACCACATTATGTTGGTAACATTTTGGTTGTACGAAATTTCGTTCATATTTGTCAACAGGAATTTCATTAAAATTTCTTTTCAGATTTCAGTATTCTCCGTATGGCAAGATTCTCATACAAACTATAAAGGATAATAGTTTTGACCAGAAAGTGGATGATTTCGTGATCTCGGTAGCCTGAGTCAACTTACTTTATTGAATTAGCCTGGCCGAGTTTTTTTAATATTCTTATAATTTCCTAAATTTTCGACTAGAAACAGATGTACTATATTTAGTTTAATTAAATACCGGGTTTGTACACAGATCTTAATTTAGCAGTTCTTGTTTCTATATACATTTGGTCAGTATGCATAGATGTAGTTCAGTTTACTTAAAAATATACCGGATATGCCAATAAGTCCAACATGTATTAATTTCGTGTAGTTTTGTTTGCGCATATTGACGAACTCATGTTGACTACGCATTTTACATTATACTTGGCCCATATCTATAGTTTACGTTGCTAAACTAATGAGGTTAATACATTTATTCCTTGCGCAAAGCAGATGTCACACTCAAATTCAATATTTATGGTTCAGAAAATATGGAAGCTGCTGACGCAATCGACAATCTTTCTTCAACATAATTGGACTTACAATATTAATCCAATATCATATTTTAAAAATGGGTCGAATGACACGCTGCTATCTATCTTGAAAGTATAAAAAGGGAGACAGACAATCATAACTCATCGAGTTGCATCAGCTCAACTATATTCCATAGTTCGCAACAGCCTTCTTTTCCAACAAAACAAGAGATTTACTACCAGAGACACCATGTTTTCCTCGGCAGCTTTAGCATTCGTCGCTCTTGTCAGCGTTTTTGGTGGTGGTATGTTAACAATAATTTTTTTTTTCTGAAACGATTTTTTAAAAATAGAAATCCGATTAGAATTGGTATTATTTATATGCAGTACTGGATCCAGGTATGGGCCGAATCAGCCGAACCCTCCCCCCTTTGAACGCCTTTAAATAAGAGAGGAAAGATAAGGAGAGGAGAAATCGAAAACAAGGTAATAGAGAAGAAAAGGAAAGAGCAACTTAGCGAGAACCCCCTCCCTGCTACCCTGAAATAACAGAATGAATTGCAAAGAGAACATTACAATTTATATCGCTCTTGACGGACATTTAGAAGGTTTTGAATTGCTAAAACTAGAGAGTTGCCCGGGGCACAGGCTCTGTCTCTGGATGTCACCCGGAAAGGCTGGCGCTTACGAGCTCGCAGTGCACTCCAATAATATTGGGGCTGTGTACATTTAAAAGGGAAATTTACCATGGGAAATTTACAATAGTATGTAATTAGTTGTCTTTTCAAGCTTTATTGATCATGTTCCGAGCTCTGAGAGAATATGAACCGTATCTGTTAAGGATGGGCAGCGCTGTCCTAATCATTTTATGGGGAATGGTAGGGAAGCTTTATTCCGGCTGTGTGTGCAACATAATGCACTGTAGGTGACATTTTTGGGTCTATTTCTGTTAATTGTAATTTAACACTTGCTCTGAAATATTTATGCGATCTCTATTTTTATACTATAACCAGGTAACTTTGATATTCATTATCTTTTGTGTTGACAGAATAATGAGAATGATCCTAGCAATTTGGACTTTTAGCACCAAAATTGAGATTTATTTTTGATTTGATTTATTA